TGTTATATAATATCACGATCAGTCACGTGTTATGTAATATCACGATCAGTCACGTGTTATGTAATATCACGATCAGTCCCTTGTGTTATATAATATCACAATCAGTCCCGTGTTATATAATATCACGATCAGTCCCGTGTTATATAATATCACGATCAGTCCCGTGTTATATAATATCACGATCAGTCCCGTGTTATATAATATCACGACCAGTCACGTGTTATATCACGATCAGTCCCTTGGGTTATATAATATCACGACCAGTCACGTGTTATATCACGATCAGTCCCTTGGGTTATATAATATCACGATCAGTACCGTGTTATATCATGATCAGTCACGTGTTATATAATATCACAATCAGTCCCGTGTTATATAATATCACGATCAGTCCCGTGTTATATAATATCACGATCAGTCCCGTGTTATATAATATCACGATCAGTCCCGTGTTATATAATATCACGATCAGTCCCGTGTTATATAATATCACGATCAGTCCCGTGTTATATAATATCACGATCAGTCCCGTGTTATATAATATCACGATCAGTCCCGTGTTATATAATATCACGATCAGTCCCGTGTTATATAATATCACGATCAGTCCCGTGTTATATAATATCACGATCAGTCCCGTGTTATATAATATCACGATCAGTCCCGTGTTATATAATATCACGATCAGTCCCGTGTTATATAATATCACGATCAGTCCCGTGTTATATAATATCACGATCAGTCCCGTGTTATATAATATCACGATCAGTCCCGTGTTATATAATATCACGATCAGTCCCGTGTTATATAATATCACGATCAGTCCCGTGTTATATAATATCACGATCAGTCCCGTGTTATATAATATCACGATCAGTCCCGTGTTATATAATATCACGATCAGTCCCGTGTTATATAATATCACGATCAGTCCCGTGTTATATAATATCACGATCAGTCCCGTGTTATATAATATCACGATCAGTCCCGTGTTATATAATATCACGATCAGTCCCGTGTTATATAATATCACGATCAGTCCCGTGTTATATAATATCACGATCAGTCCCGTGTTATATAATATCACGATCAGTCCCGTGTTATATAATATCACGATCAGTCCCGTGTTATATAATATCACGATCAGTCCCGTGTTATATAATATCACGATCAGTCCCGTGTTATATAATATCACGATCAGTCCCGTGTTATATAATATCACGATCAGTCCCGTGTTATATAATATCACGATCAGTCCCGTGTTATATAATATCACGATCAGTCCCGTGTTATATAATATCACGATCAGTCCCGTGTTATATAATATCACGATCAGTCCCGTGTTATATAATATCACGATCAGTCCCGTGTTATATAATATCACGATCAGTCCCGTGTTATATAATATCACGATCAGTCCCGTGTTATATAATATCACGATCAGTCCCGTGTTATATAATATCACGATCAGTCCCGTGTTATATAATATCACGATCAGTCCCGTGTTATATAATATCACGATCAGTCCCGTGTTATATAATATCACGATCAGTCCCGTGTTATATAATATCACGATCAGTCCCGTGTTATATAATATCACGATCAGTCCCGTGTTATATAATATCACGATCAGTCCCGTGTTATATAATATCACGATCAGTCCCGTGTTATATAATATCACGATCAGTCCCGTGTTATATAATATCACGATCAGTCCCGTGTTATATAATATCACGATCAGTCCCGTGTTATATAATATCACGATCAGTCCCGTGTTATATAATATCACGATCAGTCCCGTGTTATATAATATCACGATCAGTCCCGTGTTATATAATATCACGATCAGTCCCGTGTTATATAATATCACGATCAGTCCCGTGTTATATAATATCACGATCAGTCCCGTGTTATATAATATCACGATCAGTCCCGTGTTATATAATATCACGATCAGTCCCGTGTTATATAATATCACGATCAGTCCCGTGTTATATAATATCACGATCAGTCCCGTGTTATATAATATCACGATCAGTCCCGTGTTATATAATATCACGATCAGTCCCGTGTTATATAATATCACGATCAGTCCCGTGTTATATAATATCACGATCAGTCCCGTGTTATAAAATATCACGATCAGTCCCGTGTTATATAACATCACGATCAGTCCCGTGTTATCTAATATCACGATCAGTCCCGTGTTATATAATATCACGACAAGTCCCGTGTTATCTAATATCACAATCAGGCCCGTGTTATATATATACTATCATGATCAGTCCCGTGTTATCTAATATCACGACCAGTCCCGTGTTATTTAACATCATGATCAGCCCTTGCTATTTTATTTCATGAGTAGTCGTATGTTATGAACATTGTAATATTTTGTTACATTTTCAGTTCATGGTGTCCAGTATCGCCACCGATATCTTGATTTATATCAAGATCCCTCCGGTGTGATATTAATCAATTATGGACGTTTTATGAGGTGAACATTTGGTTATATGTATGGTTTTGAGAGAGCTATATTGACATAACTTTTAAGGTTATATAATCGCATATTCACCAAAATTAAATTCCCCAACTGTTACATGTATATCAGATACGAAATTATGGTTTTAATCACTAAACAAAATGGAAAGTATGAAAGTTGTCAGGTGAACAATACTGCATTAGCAGAAAGCATTGTGACGTTAAAATTAATGTGACGTCAGAAAGAGAATTACTAAATAAGTAACGTCGAGTAAACCACAGACCTCAACGTGATTATTCTTTAACCAACGAGGATAACGTAAAGGTATTGTTATCTGAGATAATGCCATTGTCAGCCATGAAAATTGTATAATAACAGGATCCGCCTGTAGTAAGTGCTTCATGCCAAATCTTCAAAAAAGAATAACAATGACCTTAAAAAAACACTTCTTAGTTCGATATTGATATAACATTTAACAATACAGAAAGTGACTTATCTAAATGTACGTTTAGAAATCAGTAATAATAAAAAAATATATATATGAAAAGGTACTTGATCCTTCTCGCGTTAAAGTCTAGTTAAAATCTGAGCCAGGTAACAATACAGTTCCGCTAAATATACTTAGCTTTTCTAACATGAGGTTCACTCAGCATAGACTTACCTTAACAGGTCCCTTTCCCTATTATATTTAGACTTTAGAATGTGCTTATTAATAACGTAAAAGACTCCGCCCTTTTATAAATCTTTAGTACACATTGAATCTCGTAAATAAAACATTCTCTTGACAAGTCTTAGAGATGTAGCATGTTTACTGTTGATCTTTATATATGTAATCTTATAGAATTTCATGTGTGTATTTGTGGACTCCCTCTAGAAAGTACAAAACATTTTTCTTTACTTGCAGGTATAACTAAATTAGAAATACTCTCATAAATAAATTAAGGGTATACCATCCGATAACGTTTTGTTTGATTCTGTGGGGAAATGAAGAGCTCCAGGGGAAGGCCAGCATCTTTATATTTACATTTATTCAACACTTTTTAATGGGATCAATCGTTTCTCTTAGATCGATCTCTTCCTTTCTTGTTTCTCTCACTTTGTACTGTACGATATCATTCCTTAAACCTGAGTAGCCGTTCTTATGTACTTAATGATGTGGATAAATAAGGTAAAGGACGGCATTGAGTTTAGTTCTACCTTATGCCACTCCTATTTATATATATAGCAATACAATATGTGTAATCGTACACACAGTGTTTCGAAAATTAAAGCAGGACAATTGAGTTAATTTGTTTTCAACTCTAAACCAGATTGCCATTACACATAAATGGTTATTTATGTCCATTGTTTGGGGTACATTGAAAATATATGTCATAATAAAGATAGCCCGTATACTTCGTAATTAGATAGACGTTTCCAAACTAATCACCTGTATAAGAGGAGCATGCTATGTAAGTCCCTCTGGTTGGGTTCCATAACGCTTTCTCCATCATTAAGGGCTTCCGAATATAATATTACTGTGTTATATCACTGTATTATAAAAAAGGACTAAAAGGGTTTTGTACTTTTTATCTGATCTAATTGACAAACTATGTTCCATACGATATATAAATATATATCAAGAATTCATATTCCTATCTGATGCTGCTACCTTTGACGCACCCCTTTATCACATATCGATATAAATATATAATACATCATATAATTTTATCTGATCTCCCTACCTTTGCAGCGTTTATGTATAAGATAAACTAAATATTTAAAGAACCGCGAAATAGTATGTGTGACAGAAGTAGATAGTAATACCAGCATGAGTTTACTTAGCCAAGATTCAGTTTAAGTATAAAGTCCACTCTGTTTATCTGAACATCAGTCATTTAAATTAAAGAATAATAATGATGGAAATATATAATAAATTCAGAAAGAAAAAAAGAAGAAATATTGAAAGAGAGGAAAAAAAACAAAACAAAAAAAACCCCCAAAGAAAACAAAATCACCAATGCACGAAATGGGACAGAAGCGACCCTTTCCCCTACTCCCCAAATAGTTGTGGTTCTATGTTACATCATTCAACACACAGTTATTACATAATGTAAAATGTCTCCCGTGAAGACGTTCACCAAATTTCCCTATGATACGCTCGACGTTGTATTGTATATTATACTGGGAGTTTACTTAGCCGAGAATCAATTTCAGTTTGGTATTTTTCTCCACGTCCTCATCGATCTTTCGCCACTATTCATCATCAATATTAAATGCTAACGTACATGCCCCGACACCAGTGTTATCCCCGACTTGTCAGAGAGAGATCTGTTCACCTCGTCAGACCGCTAGTAGACAATGCAGGATTCAGCATAATCCCCTCTTGAATGGAACTCTTTTGCCAGGTAAAAGCAGATATTGCGACCCTCTGGCTTATTCTTCCGGTTATCGATCGAAAATACGTTGTTAACCCAATCCTTTACACACTATTGTATTATAGAGAAACCAGAATGCTATTCAATATCTCTGCTATTTGCAGGAAGACGAGGATCCAATGGCACAAGGGACTGGCAGACTCAAACAGACGAAACGCTCCACAGAAGAGAAATTATATCAAACGAAAGCGCGAGCTGTCAGCCTAACAGGTGGCGCTGTAAGCAGGGGCAGCAGACGACACCGACAGCGGCCTCAGAGTCCACAGACTGCCGGCGCGTACGGATGTGATGGTGGAGGGAGCATAGACAGGGACTCACCAAGTAATGGGTCGAGATCTCGTAACTCTACCTCCAATGGATGTGTTCCCGATATGGGAATAAAAAGCATAGCTATGGATAACTCGTACCTTGTCCAAACCGTGGAGATAAAGAAACGGCCAGGCCAGACCTTGGGATTTTATATTCGTGAGGGGGACGGTATTGATAGGCAAGATGGTGTGTTTATATCAAGGATACAGATGGGTACTGTTGCCGAAAGCAACGGTCTGCTTCATATAGGAGACGAAATTCTTACCGTGAACAAAGTGGAGGTAGGTCATATGTCCCTTGATGATGTAGTCATACTTATGTCCATACCAAAGAAATTAATACTCAAAATACGAACCAAGAAAAGTTGCAATAAGAAAAATGCATCATGTCCATCGTTAGCTATCACTGAACAGGAGGAACAACCACCTGTGGTAGTTCTTAAAAAAGGCCGGTCATCTTCCGCTACTGCTCTGGAAGAGACTGAGAAATGTCCGGATATATTTGAGCCATTTTCTTCAGGTGCTTACACTACCGATTACTTAGGACAGAAGCGTACATCAAGATTCGATAGGTCAACTTCACAATATGCAAGTATATTTATCAGTCCACATAGGGCAGAGGCCAAACTTCTAAACGAGGATGGAGACAGTGAACATTCGAGTGAGGGGTCATTACCAAGGAGTGTCGACTCTGGTGGTAAGAGTCACTACGTTGGGCACAGAGGGTACATGTCCGATGGGGCATACGAAGCCGCTGGGAGTTATTTCAGCCCTGCTTTGTCCCCTAGTCAATACGGGAGTGCCACTGACAGGGATTACTTAAAGTACATGTATTCTGATGGTGGAGGAATGCCAAGAAAATTAAACCCCAAATCACCCTCAAAAGCAATTCCCATTGGTGCACAACAGCCAAATCTAACAGTGAGAAGTAACATGACGTTCGAGGCGGTAGAGAGGGTGGCCCAGTCGGAGAGCTACTCTGGGGGTCAGCCTCTTCAGGATTACATATCACACCGAGGTTATGACCAGGCGAAGAAATTCCAAGGAGGATTCAGGGAAATGTTACACTCAAAAGCCAAATATGGCCGCTTGCCCCGGAGTCGTTCTCCGGAGTGTTACAATTCCGATTCGGAAGTTATTTATGCACCTCCGTCTACTCGAAGTCAGGTAGATTCTCGTGGGTTTTCCTCCGATTACGAGACATACGCGGGTGGTATGAGTGATGACGACCCTATCTATTCTATACCTCAACTGCCGTCTAGTAGTAGTACGGAGTTAGAGGAACTCTTACGGAAGTTTAACACGCTGTCACACGAGTTACAGCAGGAACAGTGTAAACTCCAGCGCCAGCTCTCTACACGGGAACGAACAGGTAATGACGATTATCGATCGGAGTAACGAGGCTCCAGGGCTCACCACACACTTTACACCGATGATTCATACTTCCCACATATCTGTCTATCCATGTATACACATATACCAATGATACGTCTGGTACCGGTACACACACACCGAACTGTCAATATATCGATACCACGTCAGGTACTGGTACATATCTGAGCCTAAATGTACACATATCAATATTGCGTGTGGTACTGGTACACACAACTCAATGTACACGCATATACCAAAATAATTCGTCTCGCTAAATATACACACATCTTGCTGTCCGTGTTCACACACAGATCGGTATCACGTCTGATAATGGTATATATCTTGCCCTCAATGTACACATACCAATACCGCGTTTTATACAGGTATACGTACTTTAAACTCAATGTACACGCAAAAACACACATATAACTGTCCGTGTACACACAGATATCGATAGTAGTGGTGCCTATCTGGACCCAATAACAATACCGCATGGGGTACCGATACACACAACTCAATGTACTCTCATATACCAATAATACGTCTCGTACCGGTATATACCACATGTCTCTTCATTTGCACATTTAAACCAATGCTACTTCGTTAACCAAACTCAAACATAGCAAATAGCAAGAACTACAAAGCAAGCTGCAAGTCCTCAGTACACACACAGGTGCTAGTAACATCTTTTAACTGGAACTTCAATAAATATTACACATTAGCCACATGTGTCTTTACCACTATATTACATACCACTAACACGTGTCTGTACCATAAATTAACACACCACTAACACGTGTCTGTACAATTAATTAACACACCACTAACACGTGTCTGTACCATAAATTAACACACCACTAACACCTGTCTTTACCACAATATAACTAAACACTAACACGTGTCTGTACCATGAATTAACACACAAATAACGTGTGTCTGCACCACAATATAACACCAGTCACACGTGACTGCACCACAATATAACTCAACACTAACACGTGTATGTACCACAATATGATACTCACTACTAACGTGTGTATATACCACAATATAACACACCACTAACACATGTCTGTACCATGAATTAACACACAACTAACATGTGTCTGCACCACAATATAACACACAAGTGTCTGCACCACAATATAACACCAGTCCACGTGATTGTACCACAATATAATACTCACTACTAACGTGTGTATATACCACAATATAACACACTTCTAACACTTTTCTGTACCACAATATAACATAACACTTACATGTGTCTGTGCCTTAAATTAACTCAACACTAACACATGTCTGTACCACAATAAACCACACTTCTAACACGTGCTTTTACCACAATATATCATACTGCCAATACGTCTTTTTATTACTAAATGAAACACTGCTAAAATGAGTCTGTACCACTCTTTAACACACACTTCTTCTTCGTGACTTTACCACTATATAACACATGCTACTCATGCACCTGTACCACTATATAACATTTTACAAACATGTGTCTTTACCACGATATGGCACACAAATAGAATATTTCTCTACGCCTTAATAGCATACTTCAAACATAATAAAATGTGTCTGTAACCACATTTTAACACGCACTACTACATGTTTATAACACAATATGATACTTTCTAATACGTGTATGTGCCACTATTTAACACTCTTCCAATACGTGTTTGTACAGCTTTTTTACACAACACTTGTCTTCACCATAATATAACAAGCTACTAACACATGTTTGTACCTCGATATAACACATAACTAAGGTACCACTATGTAACACAATACTGTCTGCATCATCGTATAACACATACATGCCGGCGCCACTATATAACACACCACTTACACATATTTGTACCACATTATAACAATCTAATAACACATGTCTTTACCACAATATAACACACCACTAACACATATATGTACCACATTATTACAAGCTAATAACACGTGTCTTTACCACAATATAACCCACCACTAACACATATATGTTCCACATTTTTACAAGCCAATAACACCAATAACACGTACTTTACCACAATATAACACACCACTTACACATACATGTTTCACATTATTACAAACCAATAGCACCAATAACACGTGTCTGTACCACAATATAACAAGCTAATAACACGTGTCTTTACCACAATATAACACACCACTAACACATATATGTACCACATTATTACAAGCCAATAACACGTGTCTGTATCACAATATAACAAGCTAATAATGCTCTATATAATTTTGTTTAATTACGCGTTTCTGTATTGCAAAACAACACACGACTAACACTTGTCTGTACGACTTTATAACATGTGTATAACACGTTTTATTATTTTTGAACTTAGATATAACATTTATTACACCTTTCAGGATAACTTTATATTCAAAATACTACAAACACGTGTCTTAACCATTTTATAATAAATACTTATAGTAATAACACTTATGTGTACCATCATATAACACATACATCTAACAAGTTTGTACCACTATAACACATACAACTAACAAGTCTGTACCACTATAACCATAACACTAACAAGGCTGTACCACTATAACACATACAACTAACAAGTCTGAACCACGATAACACATACAACTAACACGTCTGTACCACTATAACACATACAACTAACAAATCTGTACCACTATAACACATACAACTAACAAGTCTGAACCACTATAACACATACAACTAACACGTCTGTACCACTATACCACATACAACTAACAAGTCTGTACCACTATAACACATACAACGAACAAGTCTGTACCACTATAACACATACAACTAAGAAGTCTGTACCACTATAACACATACAACTAACAGGTCTGTACCACTATAACACATACAACTACCAAGTCTGTACCACCATATAACACATACAACTAACAAGTCTGTACCACTCTAGCACATACAACTAACAAGTCTGTACCACTATAACACATACAACTAAGAAGTCTGTACCACTATAACACATACAACTAACACGTCTGAACCACTATAACACATACAACCAACAAGTCTGTACCACTATAACACATACAACTACCAAGTCTGTACCACTATAACACATACAACTAACACGTCTGTACCAATATAACACATACTACTGTTTACGTCTTTAACACTTTATATCAAATGCTACTAACATTGTGTGGAAGTGAGTCTAACTTGTCTTTATATATATTTGTTTTGTATGTCCACAAATGGTTTTGTATATTTCATTTACAGGAATGAAGCAAAAAAGTCCTATTTAATCTACCAACAAAATTAAGGTTAAATAGAGGCGAAAACAGTATGTTTTAATAATATACATACAATTTGTATGAGAGTACATATGAAGCGAATTTTCATGCGTTCTAGTTATTAATGCAAATCGAGCTGGAAGTGATGATTGGGGATAGTGTCACATGTATATTTATATATTAATGACAGCAGGATTCACAACAGCCCTCTCCATTGTTTGAATTCAGAATAGTTTCATTTTCCAAACACGAAACAAGACACAAATACCCATAATTCCAGTGGCTTGTTTCCAATCTAATAAAAGATGGATACCATTCGACTTCATGTACTTAAACAATATTTTTGCATTGGGAATATCAATATTTGAGCAATGCTAGCAGGTATATTATAACTGAAAATGGAAATGATCACAGTGAGTAGATGATATATTTCAAACAACGAAAACGTTGTTTCTGTTCCACTACAGAGCAAAAACTGAAGACCGTACTAACCTTTCTTAGCAGCTGAGTTAAAGGCAAGGTCCAACTCAACCAAGAGTTAAGTGGTTACACACCCTCTCTCAAACAAGACAACTGTACAAATTACTTTTTCCTAATATCTATAGCGCAGACCAAAACCAAGAGTACATATTGATTTTTATTAATTCCTCTACCTTATATACTCATTATCACGAAGTTCTTTCAAGAAAATAATTTCCTGATGCAATTAAAGGTCTTTGAACATTCAAATTCAATTTTTCACCTCAAAAACCCTCTATCCACTTTCTGTCCTAGCTCTTTGTTTTTGTAAACGTGTTTAATTTGGGTAACAAAATGTAATAAATAGAACGTGACGGTTTCCAACTGGTTACAGATATACCTCTACTCAATACTAGTCGTATTAACAGGATTATTTTCGATACCAAAACATAATCTTTAGTGCTGTTAACATTAATTCGAAAGCTCTAACTATACTCTATCCCCGTATGTCGTAGAAAGCTGCAACACTGAAGCATGATGTGAATGTTTTTGCCGATGTGATATGTGTGCTTATAGAAACACGTGATGTTGGGGACACAGTGTTACTTGCTTGTTGATGGCTGGAAATAGTGTCCTCTAGTTCGGTTTAGACACAACTTCATCCTCCAACAATAGCAAAACCATTATGTCCTTAACAAAAGCAAAAGTATGTTGCTCACTACAACAGTGGTAGCATGCTGCCCTCAACAACAGCGATAGCATGATGCCCTCAACAACAGTGGTAGCATGATGCCCTCAACAACAGCGATAGCATGATGCCCTCAACAACAGCGATACCATTGTGCTGTCCACAACATTTTTTTCTGAATTCAGACAGCATATGGCAGTAAATCGTGCTTATGGTCAGTTTTGGGATATAGCGACTGAATCCCAGAATTAGGGTTTCTGTCTTTATCTAGTGGACAGTGGAGGAATATATTTTTTTTAGACAATGGTGTATCCAACTGCATTTGTATCGTATAGGCGTTTAATGTTGGTCCCCATGGAACTGGGTTTGTTCCCCTGTATCTTCTGCTTTAGGGGACAATAGAGTGACCGACATTGATCTGCTGCTCCCCATTGCAACCCTTGGGATCTATATCTGATTTACTCTCCTACTAACTGTTCCCTGTCGGCAGTGTCTCCCCAGGCACCAGACCTCACCTATGACTCCGGCTGTACCAACGACGTTAAACCCAGATACAGAAATATCGGGTTGATCAGGTCTTGTTT